TTCTTTCCATCTATCATTATATAACCACACAGATGGCTTATATTTTTGGATTTAACACATAGAGTGCATAGCACACATCACAGTTGACAGACTATGGTTGTATAGAACTGTACTAAGGATACAAAAATTGACAGCGCTTTATCAGTCCAAATGTTAAAAGTAGTCAATCTTCCTCTTCTATCTATTACATTTTAATAGGGAACAGTAAAATCCCTTTATCAGGGATAGTAAAATACAAATCCTGAAATGTCAGTTCTGATTTAATAAATTCTTTGAATTTTCTGGCAACAAAGGGCTTTGTGGTTTGGAGGAGAAGGCGATTAACCACTTGCATACCATTCTGTAGTACCACTTCATTAACAGGTAATTTTTCATTTTCCATGCCTATGATAATTTGACAGACTGACAAATACAAGACTGTACCCAAAAGAATTCTATGATTATGTGATTTTTGAGACAGATACAGCTTTCTTTAAATGGTATTTAATAACCAATGGATTTTACATTTTTTAGCATGTAATGGAAAGAAAGGAAAACATTTAACTCAAAAACAAAGGTGGGTTGATAGTCATTGAAGGTACATAAACACAACCACATCACCAATAGCACTGCATCTGTGAGCCCAATCTGTTACCTGCTATACTACTAGCCAAGCCTTAAGGGTGGCACTCAGGGGATAAAACATTCCGGAGTTCTAGACTTCCAAGCAGATGACTGATTAGTGGGAAGAACTTCTTGATTTTAACCTCACCTCTTGTAGCAGACTGCACATCTGGTACTGTGGTCATGTGTTCCTTTTCAGTAGATTCTCCACATCTCTAATGGCGCTCCCCATTCCGCAGATCATGCTCCATATTTTGAGCAAGTTCTCTGCATGCTGGTAAGAGTGGAAAATGACCCTTTTCTGCCTCTACCTGCAGCTCCTCCTACCTCAGTCTTTCATTTCTAAAACCCCTACCCAGCCAGATTTACCTTCCCCCTGTCATAAGAGTCCCATGGTTTCGTAGTTTTAGCGTAGCATACTTGTATGTGCTGTTTTCCCAGAGATGTTACACGTGAAAATATCTTATTCTTTTCATCTTTTAGGGAGAAGGTATCTATTAGTAACAAAATCTAGAGAGAAGAGTGGCAGTGGAAGTAAGGATGAGAAAGAGCTTTCCAGTATCTTCTTCCTCCATTAATAATATCAGATGAAGTGTAAAATGTAGGCACACTACCTTTCCCATTACCTCTGTAGGTACAGTGTACTATTTCAAAAGCCTCTGTAGGCGGCTAACTTTCCCAATGCTTTGATAGGTATACTACCTTTCCCAATGTTTCTGCAGGAGTACTGCCTTTCCCAGTGCCTCTGCAGGAGTACTACTTTTACCAATGCCTCTGTAGCATTACTACATTTTCCAATACCTCTGTATGAGTTATAGGGGAATAATGGGAAACCCAGAACAAAGACCATGAAGCATTATCTTGAAGACGGCCTTTACTATATCAGTTGTGGGGCCATGAGTGGGTGGGAGATTATCTTTCTTGAGATGGAGATGAGAGCATACACTTGGTAAACCCACAATTCGAAACTGGAAAAAGGATTGTTCTAGTTTGGTCCATAGTTTACTGCCTTTTTTGAGAGCACCAGTCTAGGAGTGTATTCAAATGGACCACTTCATGATATTTGACAGAGTCTGGGAATCCAGCATGGAGCAAGGTGGCAGCAGGGTGCTGATTCTTTGTCACATCCTTTGTGTTTTCCAATTAACTTGTTGGGTGCCAAGTCTTGGAAGTTTGAGAGGCCTACCCCTGGGGTGAGATCTTCTGGGCTATGCTAGGCACCTTGTACAGGGTCTCACACTAATTCATGCACAAGGAGTACTTTAAGGCAGGTCTCTACGCTTAGAGATGAACGTACACTACGTACACTTGCACAACAACTGTTCTCCAGTTATTTTCAGGTTCCAGTGTAAATGCACATCTTCTCACTGTAGTTTGCAATTAGGCTGGCTGTGCAGAACTCTGACCACAGCCACCTGTCCAGCATTTCCCACTACCGGTCCATGGTAGTAGCATGGAACCCGACTGTGCACGTAGCATAGGGCTCCAAAGTGCACTTGACTAACTCCTGAACTTCTGTACCTCTGTACAGGATGGGGACCTCTGCAGGGCAGTTCTACCCCAGTTGCTGTGGGAGACAGAATGCAGTGTAGGGAGTGCTGACAACATTTCCCTCACAGCTATAGGCAATTCTTCCTAAAACAGGTACACGTTTACAACAGGCTACTTGTTGACTGTACCTTCATTGCTCATGGCAACCACATGCATAACTTGCACTAGTTTTGCTCTTTAAGTGCTGACCCCATGTGCTAGTGACCCAAGCTGAAGACTAAGTGCAATGTGTCGATTACATGCATTACACCCTTTTTTAAAGGGCTTCAGACCAGGCGTATGATAAAGTTTCAAAGACCTTACGTAACAACTTCAATACCAGGCACTTTTACCCCCTTCTTGCCCAAGCCAATTTTCAGGTTTCAGCACTCTCACACTTTGAATGACAATTGCACGGTCATGCAACACTGTACCCAAACTAAATTTTTTAAATTTTGTTCACACAGCTAGAGCTTTCTTTTGGTGGTATTTAATCAGCCATGGGGTTTTTATTTTTTTTGCAAAATTAATAAAAAAAGACTGAAAAGTTTTGAAAAAAAAACATGTTTTTCTTTGTTTCTGTTATAAACGTTTGCTGTATTCTGCTACATTTCTTTGTTGAAAATAACCCAAATCTGTATTTATTATTTAGTCTGTAGGAAAGTTATAAAGTTCACAAACTATGGGATATATCTGAAAATTGATCAATCCTGAAGTACTGACAGCCAATCTAATTTCTTGAGGCCCAAAAATGTCAGAACAGTACAGAAATCCCCCAAATGACCCCTTTTTTACAAAGTAGACAGTCCGGCGTATTGTATTGTACTGTCACCAGTGCAGTACAGTGTCATCATATAACCGGTGTGGCGGTGATCAGGGACACTTTTTTTCTATTTTTTTCTTATTTTTTATTACTTTTTTTTTCTCTCTTTTTTTTTAAAAGATTTTTTCTTCATATTACACTATGAACAAAGTAGTATAATGTTACCATAGTAACATTGTACTACTTTAGGGAAGTAATCAGTATTTTTTTTACACAATTTGATTGCTTATAGTAAAGAATTTCTTTGCTATAAGCAAGCATTTAACTGAAGTCGATTCATTCAGGTTTTTTTGTTGTGATTAGCTGTAATTGGCCACGGCTAATTACATGACACAGATGGGCTGTGATTGGCCCAGCCTGTGCATGTGGTCACTGTGACCATTCACAGCTAGACACACTTGTATACAATGGATGGCATGAAAGAAGCCATCCATTGTTTACAACTGTCATGTGACCTGCTGTGATTGGTACTGTCAATGGGGTCGTGTCCGGCTGTGTCCGAGGTACACAGCCGGTGACAGATCTCTTCACAGCGCAGCCCTGTGGGCACGTGCAATGCGCGATCCGGGAAAGACATCATATGACACCCTCCCGGATCGATGAGAATCCCGCCCGGCCATCATTTTTCCTATAGGCCGAGTGGGAAGTGGTTGAATAAAGTGCAAAAAGTCCAAAGAACAACAGAACTTTCTAAAGTATTTTCAATGACAGTCATTTTTCCTAATTCCCTAGTTCCTAAACCTAATCTGGCTATGTGCTGCCCAGGCATACCTGCAGAGGTCAAATCCATGTAGTCACAGCATCAAACAGAGGTATGCTCCAGCAGCTGGTATCATTTACCTGGTGATGGAGGCCAATGGAGAGATGGCTTCCCTTGCGGCAAAGTTACAGACTCCCCTGAGAGTGGGACAGCAGGAGTCAGGCCCAAAGCGGCACAGGTCGCCTGTAGGAGTGCTGGTTGCTGGTCCACCCAGAAGCACAGCTGATGTACGGAGATAGGTCTGCAGACAGGTGGTGCCTGTGCGAGGTATGCAAGCCCTTCCAGGATTTAGAGATTTACTGGATAGCCGGTTCAAGCCAAGGTCAGTTACCAGGTGGGAATCAGAGCAGACGTAGTCAGATGGGATAGCCGAGGTCATACACAGAGGAGAGAGAGAGTATCCTTAAGCCAAGCCGAGGTCAGATCAGGGGTTAAGCAGAGTAGACAGATCCAAGAGCAAGCCAAGTCAGTGTCAGAAAATCAAAGGTCACAATAACACAGGAAAAAGGAACAAGGCACAGGGAGCTAGAGATCATCCAGCAACTTGAGGAAGTGGTGAGCCTCCTTATAAAGGCCATATGGCACCAAACTGAAGCTGATCTGTGCTTCTGCAGCCATGACAGAAATGCCAGATCTTCCAGAACTTCTGCTGTGGACAGAACCCTGACAGCTGGTGTCTTACCCATGTTTATACATCTTGGTGGCAGGCTGTCTCATCGTGGTACTTTTTCCAGGTGTAGCTCTCTTCAGGGAACCTGGGAGACAGCCAAGATCGTGGACAAGAACCAAGGCTAGATAATGGCAACAGCAGTGACAGACCTCCTGACCTGACCCACTGTCCACTTTTATATGCACAGGTGCAGTGGGTCGGACCGAAAGATCCTGCCAAAAGACAAAGAACAGGGAAGAACATTAACTCCTACCCTTCCAACCAGGGCAGCACCTAACTAACTTTAGGACTGAATCTTCTTTAAAGTTAGGAGCCACTGTAGGTGTTGAATAACAATGTTTTACATATTGTGTGTGTATATATATATATATATATATATATATATATATGTATATATATATAAAATCAGTCTGTATATACAGTAAAGCATGCTTGTTATACTCACTGTGGAACCTAAAGGGCAAATCCTCTGCATTTTTGTAAAAAGGCTGTTTGAGCCTTTCTTCTCTGCCCTTCCTCTTGTTGAAATGATCCCCTGATACAGACTTAATCCGTAGTCAAATGCACATGCTCAGTTTGGTGTGTATTGCTAGAGAGTTTTTTTTGTATTTCTTGGGAGAGTGCATGTGTCAGGAATGGACTCAGCACTGGTGGTGGGACTCACCTGCCATGTGGGCTGCAGTACCAGGGCTGACCAGTGGGTGCTCTCAGCAGCCAGAAGCTCACTCCTGTAGTCAGCCAACACCTGGGCTGATTGCAGGAGGTGTATTTAAGGTATGACCAGGCCTGTGATCAGGGTCTTGGTGTATGTTTCCCATGAGCCCCTGTACCTGGTATCCTGTGTTCCTGCCTCGTTGCTGACCCTGCTTTGATCCTGACCTCTGCTGACCGTCTCCTGTTGAACCCCTGGCTACTCGGATCCCTAACACCAAGGCCAGTCCTGACCAGAAGTGGCTGCACAGGGAAGCCATCTTGGCTTATTGTTGTGAAGGATGCATCCTGAGGATGTTGTATATTTGTGTCTGCTAGTCTTTGATGACAGAGATTATGCCTATGAGACTCTACAGGAGTATACCAGGGATCAGCTGCTAGAATGCATACGGATCGCTCATTTTCTAGTGGATCAGGGCACAGAGTTCTTTTTGCTGCCATTTATTGCAGACCAGGTAGAGTCCCTGGTATGGTTATTAGAGGATGATGTGGATTGCTTCTTGGAGCATTATTCTGCATGTTCACAACAGGTGCTTAGGGATTGTATATACGCAGTGCAGTCTTTGACCAGACGGGCTTTGTGTAAGCTGAGCTTTGTTCAGCCAGTACTGCAGACATGGTCGGATTTGTTACATCCAGCCTCAGTCAGCTTGCAACAATCCAGTCCTGCTTCTAACCATTACTCTGCTCAAAGCTCTCTTCCTCCAGTTCCCACAGCACCCCCAGTGACAGCCCAGTATACCCTGCTAGCTACCACATGTCAGTCCCCTGCTCCCACTTGCTGCACCTATCCTGCCTTTTACCCTGTAAAGAAGACCTCTGTAGCAACTGCTCCCTCCTTTGTTCCATCCTCCGGCCCTTCCCTGTCTTCAGCTGCTCCATCCGTTTACAGACCTGCATTCACTTACAGTGCTCCAGTAACTAAACCCAAGAAGAAGCGAAAATTCTTTCCAACCAGTACCATACTACCAGTATCCAAACCGGTCAGCCTGCTGTCTGAGGACCCGCCTTCTGTTGTCCAGCCTGATGCCCTGATGCCCGATGACCCGATCCGGCCTGATGACCCGATCGTGCCAGATGACTCGGTGCCCGCTGTCGAGCTTGGTGACCCGGTGCCTGCGGTTCTGCTAGATGGCTCGGTGCCCGCTGACTTGCCCCGTGACTCGGTGCCCGCGGTTGTGCCAGATGACTCGGTGCCTGATGACTCCGTGCCCACTGACGTGCCCGATGACTCGTGCCCGCTGTCGTGCCAGATGACTCAGTGCTCGCTGTCGTGCCAGATGACTCGTTCCCCGCTGTCGTGCCAGATGACTCGTGCCCGCTGTTCTGCCAGATGACTCCTTGCCCGCTGTTCTGCCAGATGACTCCTTGCCCGCTGTTCTGCCAGATGACTCGTTGCCCGCTGTCGTGCCAGATGACTCGGTGCTCGCTGTCTTGCCAGATGACTCGTTGCCCGCTGTTCTGCCAGATGACTCGTTGCCCGCTGTTCTGCCAGATGACTCAGTGTCCGCTGTTGAGCTTGGTGACCTAGTGCCTTCTGTTCTGCCAGATGACTCGGTGCCTGCTGTCGTGCCAGATGACTCGTGCCCGCTGTTCTGCCAGATGACTTGTTGCCCGCTGTTCTGCCAGATGACTCCTTGCCCGCTGTTCTGCCAGATGACTCGTTGCCCGTTGTCGTGCCAGATGACTCGGTGCTCGCTGTCTTGCCAGATGACTTGTTGCCCGCTGTTCTGCCAGATGACTCGTTGCTTGCTGTTCTGCCAGATGACTCGGTGTCCGCTGTTGAGCTTGGTGACCCGGTGCCTTCTGTTCTGCCAGATGACTCGGTGCCCGCTGTCGTGCCAGATGACTCGTTGCCCGCTGTTCTGCCAGATGACTCGGTGCCCGCTGTCGTGCCAGATGACTCGTTGCTCGCTGTTCTGCCAGATGACTTGTTGCCCGCTGTTCTGCCAGATGACTTGGTGCCCGCTGTCGTGCCAGATGACTCAATGCCCGCTGACTTCCCTGGTAGCTCGGTGCCTGCTGACTTGCCCGATGACTCGGTGCCTGCTGTCGTGCCTCTGCCCGCTGCCCAGCCTGACATGCCTCTGTCCGCTGCCCAGCCTGACGTGCCTCTGCCCGCTGACCAGCCTGACGTGCCTCCGCCCGCTGCCCAGCCTGACGTGCCTCCGCCCGCTGCCCAGCTTGACGTGCCTCCGCCCGCTGCCCAGCTTGACGTGCCTCCGCCCGCTGCGCAGCCCGATGTGCCTCTGTCCGCTGTGCAGCCTGATGTACCAGCCCCTGATGTCCAGCTAAACTGGCCAATAACTGATTCCCAGCCTGCTCCTGGAAATCCTGTGTCCAGCGACCTGCCTTCCTGGGTTCCCCTACATAAAGAGAAGTCTGCCAGCAGGAAACCCAGCCAGCCGGTTGACTCCGGCAGTAAGATATCCAGCCAGTTACCTGACCCGGGCGGTGGAACATTTTGCCCACTAGGGACTGTTTGGAGCGTCCTGAGGCCGCTCCTTGAGGGGGGGGGTACTGCCAGGAATGGACTCAGCACTGGTGGTGGAACTCACCTGCCGTGCGGGCTGCAGTACCAGGGCTGACCAACGGGTGCTCTCAGCAGCCAGAAGCTCACTCCTGTAGTCAGCCAACACCTGGGCTGATTGCAGGAGGTGTATTTAAGGAATGACCAGGCCTGTGATCAGGGCCTTGGTGTATGTTTCCCATGAGCCCCTGTACCTGGTATCCTGTGTCCCTGCCTCGTTGCTGACCCTGCTTTGATCCTGACCTCTGCTGACCATCTCCTGTTGAACCCCTGGCTTGCCTGATCATCCTTCTGCCTGATCCTCGGTACCACTACCTGCTGAACCTGGCTTGTGACCCCGACCATTCTCTGCTTGCTCCTCCTGTACCACGATGACTGCACGATACCGACCCGGCCTGTCTGACTACGCTTACCTCATCCGACGATCCATCCATCCCGCACGGATCACCTTTAGTAAGTCTGCCTGCCTCTTCCCATCAGACTCCGTTCCTGCACTCCCCTGCCAGTACTCTCTACCACAGCCGGACGCACTCAGGGGTCGCGACCTGGTTCCAGTCTGCACCAAGTCCATCCCCACCATCAGGGGCCTTGGTGAATAGCAGGATGGGACTTAGACCCCGCGTCCTGAGGAAATACGTGCTGTGGGCTGCTAGAGACACTGCCAGGTGGCACCTGACAGTACCTTACGGCCTGCCTGACAATTCCACCTCTCCAGCCTGATTATGCCTGTGTTCCTGAAGCCTGCTACTTCCCTGTGTCAGTCCACACATTTCTGGTCATACCCGGATCCCTAACAGCATGTGATCAGCACAGGGCCAATCAGCACTGTCTAGACAGAGGGCCAGGGGTTTTACATCCTCCTAGAGCAGAAAGAAAAAGAAAACTCTTCCCTCAAGCTTTAACCAGTGCTCTCCTGAAGTCACAAGACTGCTCTAACTGTTGATGAGAAAAGGTATTTAGCAGTTTATATTTATTAAAATAATTGCATTTCCATGTTGTGTGTACTGTGGGAAACCGGATATAGTATCACTTTAACTCCCTGGAGTGAGCCTACGTTTAGGTACAAGAACCAGTCCTGTGAGGTGGTGGCAATCAATGCAGTGTTTCCTGGCACTCATTCCACAAATACATTTCTGACTAACACGCTGAGCAAGCCTAATGATAGTCAGTCTTCATATATGCAGTTCCACAGTTTACAACAACCTTGCAGCTCTCTCAAACAGGACTTACCTGTTCCCCAGGATTGAGAACACTGATTGCAGGTTCCAGGTAAGTCTAAATTGCCCCAGGGGATAGGAGTAAAACCCAAACTGGACCGAGGATCAGAGATCCCTAAATGTATATGAGAGGAGCCTGGGAGATGTCTAAAACCAAAACAGGACTTTCCCGTCTCCCTCTGAGACACACTATATATCTTCTCCCCCCCTTGGTTCAACCACAGGCTTGGAACACCTGTGGCCCAATAGGAATGAACCTGGATAGGACATCTATGTTTCCCATCTTAGCCCTTAATCTGTGTTTTACGGTGATAAAATAAAATATTGTACAGCCATTTAGTTCATTAAGTTTTCTGTTTAGGTACACTACAGAGTATTCTTCCCCATTGTGTACCTGTGACAACACTGCTCCAATACCAACATCAGATGCATCTGTATGAGCCACAAAATCGGGGGCGTACAGTACTGGCTGTGCACAAAGGGCTCTCTTCAGGACTTGGAAAGACTCCTCTGCTTCTGGGGACCATTTTACCATTACTGAGACTTTCCCTTTTGTAAGGTCAGTTGGTGGGGCTGCTAGAGTTGGAAAAGTTTAGATAAACCTTGTATAGTAACCCGCAATACCAAGGAAGGCTCTGATCTGCTTTTTATTTGCAGTGTGTGGCCATTCTTGTATGGCTTCTATTTTGTTTAACTGAGGTTTCACGGCTCCTTGTCCAATAGTGTAGCCCAAATATCTAGCTTCTTCTAAACCAGGGGTCTCCAAACTATGGCCCTCCAGGTGTTGAGGAACTGCAAGTCCCTTGAGGCTTTGCAAGACTCTGAAAGCCACAAGCAAGACTCCCAGAGGCAGAGGCATGATGGGACTTGTAGTACTTCAAAAGCCAGAGGGCCATAATTTGGAGACCCCTGTTCTAAACCAACGGCACACTTTTTGGTATTTGCCGTAAAACCTTCCTTGAAGAGGAAATCGAAGACAGCCTGGACACGGTGAAGTTTTAACAAGAAGCTATTATGTAAAGGGCCAGTACGTGGACTGAACATGGAGGATTTCCTAAAACAGTTGATGTTGTCTAATGCTGTCTAATGCTGCACAACAGCAACAAGCATAGTACTACAACAACAAGGCAGTGCAGGAAAACACGCAGGTGCTGATTCAGCACAATCAACAGAAGATCAAGGCTGTTCAGGAACAGACACGTGTGCTGTTTGGAAAGTTAATGACAGCTGCAAAAACTGATCGTAAGATATTACAAAGGTAGAGCAATAGCTTGCACAGAGGTCTCCGAATAAAGCCAAAGGAGTTCTGGACTGTTCTTCATCCATCAAAGTGGGTCGCTTCTTATCCAAGATGACTGCTGATGATGACTCAGAGGCCTTTCTGCTTACCTTCGAAAGAACCTCAGAGGGAAGGCAGGCCAGAAGGCCTATTATGATTTAAAATCTACAGATGAATGGGATTATAAAAAATTCAAGCACAAAACTTTGGCACGACTAGGTGTTACCTTGGCAGTACAAGCGCAGCGGGTCAGCAGCTAGTCTTTCCAAGTTGAGAGGCCTCCACGATCACAGATATTCAACCTTATTCACCTGGTATGAAAGTGGCTACAACTGGAGTCCCTGTCTAGGCCACAAATAGTGGCGTTTGTGGTCGTGGACTGTTATCTAAGTCTCTTTGCCTATCCCCCTGCAGAAGTGGGTGAGCCAAGAGGACTCCAAGTCAGCTAATCATCTGGTGAAGCTCGTTGAGAGTAATTTTGACACTAAGAGCCTGGTTGCCTCCCCTACAACCTCACAGACTTTCCACCCAAAGCCACAGTCTACCAAGGCAAATAGTAAGACTGTCCCAGGGGAAGTGGGTGGTAAGCATGGCAAGGAGATGGGGAGAGATATTTTGGTGCCAGGTCTGAAGATGGGCGTCCCAAACCATGGTAGTTGGTGCCTGTCAGCAGACCTAACTGGGCCAATAGTATCCTATAGCCACTGACAAGTTTGAAACTGACCTAGGAACTGTGACCCATCAGGTTGGAGCCATACCCCACTTAGTGCATGAGGCCATAATTGGTAGGGATTTCCCTATATTTTGGGAACTGTGGGATTGTCCAGGCTTGCTCACAGTAACGATATAAGAGGTTGAGTCAGAATCCTTGGCCAGCACAGATAATGTGGTTTCAGAGAATTCCTCTCAGGGGTTCCCAGATTTTCCTTTCACTGTTATGGAAGGAAAACTGGAGGAGTCTGAGAATACTGCCAAAGCCAGTGAGAGTGGACAGCCTTCTGCTAACATGGAAGCTACATTAGAATTTGCTAATCTTAATATGCATGAGGAAAACTTTGGTACTGAGCCTGGAAAAATGTGGTAATGATTAATGATGTACCTGTCGAACAAAGGGACCGACTCTGTTTTCATTATTTTAGTAGCAACGAGGATTTACTGTATCATGTGTATAAAAAGAATGATGAATATGTTGAACACTTGATGGTTCCTAAGCTGTGCAGATGGGTGGTATTGGAACTTGCTCATGGACATTTGTTAGGAGGCTATTTGGTTGTTGAGAAAACCACTGAACGAGTGTTATGCAGGTTTTACTGGCCTGGGGTACAGAAAGACATTGAGAATTACTGTCAGTCATGTTCTGTATGTCAAATGTCAGCACCCTAGCTCCATTTTTGATGTCCACTAGTGCCATTACTAATTATTGAAGTGCCCCTTGAAAGGATTGCAATGGACCTTGTGGGTCCACTGCCCAAGGGTCATCAGCATATTCTCATGTTTATGGATTATGCTAATATATGTAAATATATATATATATATACATACATACACACAAACAATATTTTCAAATTTGAGGAGTAATGACATCATTATTGCAATTCTGTTAGCAGTTACAGGAAAAGGTTGTTAGCCATAATAAACTATATATTATAATAATTTTTAAAGATGCATCATAAGGTAATTTTTCACTGCTTATTATGCTTCACACGAGAGCACATGGCATTCATACTACAGCCCTCTTATGTTTGTGACCAGGTTAAATATAATGTTTCCTTGTACACTTCTTTGTCCCTGAAGACAATGTTCTCATAGTGGTGTTCATAACAGTACAGCATGTTTCATAGCTGTCCAACAGCACAGCTCAGTGGTCTGCAAGGCTCATGCATGCCAATGAAACAGATCTGAGTAGCAATAGCAACATATGTATAATGGCCTGTTGTAAAAGTGAATGAAAATTCATGTATGCACTGCTTATTCTGTATTTCTAAACTTTTCTTTCAAAAGTGTAAAAGTGAGTGTTATGATCTACAGTATACCTTTTATTAAATATGTATTTTAAAAAATGAAGAATCCTTTACAAAAAAGGACTAGGAGCAAGGATGCACATTCCTGGCACTCCTATCAGGCAATCTCAGTGAGCCTACACTTGAGTCCACCTCACTGACCATACACTAGTAGAGTTTTATACAATTTTTTTCATTTTAAGAACTTTCCTTCAATTTTCTAGTCATTAGTGGGGTCAAATTGACCTTCATTTTTGACTGCAGTAATTAGAAAATTTAAAGGGGTAGTATGGAATTTTTTTATTGAATAAACAAACTGAATAGTGAACAGTGAATTTTTTTTGTTGTCCATTCATTCTAAAACCAATTGTTATGTAAAAACAAACAAAATGTTGAAGTACTTTCAAAAATTACATTCCTCAATTCATCAAAAGTACTGAGAATTTTCATATAAATGTTTGTATGATCATTTCTTCAAAAATCTACTAGCATATGGCCAGCGTAAGGCCACATACTTGCCCGGCCTGATCTCACAGAAGCTGACTATAAAAGGATATAGAGATAAGTAGTTGGACCCTGTGCACTCTGCACAGGTTATAAACATGCAAATATTTTTGATTCCTGGGGGTGGAGCAGTCTCAACGCATTTTACAGGCCATATGCATCTGCTTCATCAGGAGTGATGATATGCTGTTTGCATGAAATAACTGCAGACATAGATATAAATTAACCGCTTTAGCGCCGCCCCATAGCAGAAATACTGCTACAGGGTGGTAGCTATGCACAAAATCACGTATATATACATGATTTCGCATTTCCGAGT